GGTCAGAGAGCACTTGGATTATGAATATCCAAACAGATGGATTGGTCGTGGCGGTCCATACGAATGGCCAGCGAGGTCTCCGGATTGTAATCCTTGCGACTATTTTTTATCGGGTCACTTGAAAGCAGAAGTTTATAAGGTCGAAATCAATAATAGGGAACAATTGATCGAACGTATCATTACAGCTTGCGATGAAATACGAAATAATCCGGTAATGATACGTCGAGCAATTGGAAACTTGGGTAAACGAGTAAGAAAATGTATCGAAGTTGAGGGAGGCCACTTTGAAAATTTGCTATAAAATTAATTTGCCATTGTAAAGTACATTTAGACACCTATTATTTTCTTTGTGTTTTATTGTTATTTGTTTTCCGTGTTTTATTAAATAGTCATTGTTCCCATTTGATTTTTTATTTCTATTTTTTAGAAATCCTATTTACTAAAAGAAATAAACTACTATTTTGATCTTTTGTATCTTTTACTTACTCATGTAATGTGTTTCTTACTTACTCGTAATTTCATTTTAAAAGCCTTGTTACCGTACATTGAATAGCGTAGTAATCATCAAATTGTAACAAGAAAAAAAGACATGTCGCTGAGATTACTTTTTTATGTTCTTTTCGATAATCGTATGGGAATACCAAATAAATACATACTGGGCGATGTTTTCTAGAGTTACAAAAAAAATTTAAAATTTTGTAGTCCGGACCTGGAATACAAAATCTACCCTCAATTAATCCTTCGCTAATTTTAGTTGCAATACCATTTTTATCATGTGTCCTTTACGTAATATAGTTTTAGAAGCCGTAGTCTCGTATATTCAATAGCTTTAAATAACCACCAAAGTGTAACAAAAAAAGAAACACGTCTTGAAGATCACTTTTTTATGCTCTTTCCGAATATCGTATCGGAATTTTAAAAAAATACATACAGAGTGTTGGTTTTTAGACTCGCACAAAAAAATAACAATTTTTGCAGTCCGGACCTGGATTTTTTTTGCTGTATCATGCATACATGAAGTATCGTGAGTGCATTAACCCTTGTTCCTATTGTATAAACTTCCAGTAAATATAGGGTGCCTTATGATAATTCAAACTTATGAAATTTGTGCACCTCTTGACAGATGACCAGGGAGACTAGACAAGGAGCACGAACTCATACCGGAAAATTGACAAAATTTGTACAAGCAAAGGCAGAAGTTGAGGTGCCGCTAGTGTTCCATATGTACCAAAGTGTATGTAGCATAATAAATACGAGTGAAGTAAGCAAATAACCAATTTTATTTTATAATGAGTTGAGTTGTTGAGTAGATATATTGGATAGTATCAAGAACATTTAAATAAAGGGGACTATGCATGTCACAGTCTATCTCATATGTTGGGTGAAGCTAGACAAGGGGAAAGCAGAGGGCTTTATTTTCATCCAACTGATGCGCGCGATTACATCTCCAATATCGTACATTTTGGATGGGTCAAAATAAAGTATTTTATAGTCCTAAGTCAATATATTTCAACAGCTACTCAGTATTTTCATAACAAATATATATAATATTTTTATAACTTCTTGGAATCCCAATAACTGTAACCATTTCTTTCTTGTTGCACCATCCCCAAGCATCCTAAAAACGTTCACATTTCACTTTTAAAATACTGAACCAAATTTTCAGTGAGACATAAAAATATATTCCCAAAGGAGAACATCAAATGGTTGAATGAATGCAACTTTCAGTTGATTGCATCTTCGGTATTTTTATGTATAAGTGAACAACCACCATATTTTTGCTGTTGTATTTATTCAGTTTTTATGCTCGTGCATTTAGTAAAATTGTAAATATATTTTTGAAAAGGTTTTTGTCGTAGAGGAAAATGAAAATGATGAATGATTAAAATTTGTAATGTTGGGTATAAGGGATAACATTGAAATACCTATAAATACATTAAATATAAATAATGTCTGTAACTTATTTGTGGTGCAGCATTTTCCTTTATTTTAATGGCCAAACGTGGTTCATATTATTGATTTCTTACTATTTCAGCAAACAATTTAAAAAAATACCAAGTCAGTTTTATAAAATTTTACCGTTATTCAAATAAAAGTTACCCACACGCACGACATTGGCCACAGTTGCATATACATTCCAAAGTCACCTTCAAGCACGCTTACCTGTGGAAGGATAGCTGATGTGGATGTTTATAATCCAATTTCTTACAAATTCTGCACTGTCTAACCATATTCACACCTTAAAAGTTTATCCAAAATACATGTATAAACACTAATCACGTTTCACTTACTAAAATCGCAACTATTTTCTAACAAGAGACTCCATATTCTGCCAACCACAGCAGAACAAACCAGGAACACGCTACAAATTATTGCGTAGTTGCCAAGTCTTCAAACATGGCAAATATGAAAAATGAAAAATAGTTTAATATGTACAGAATTTAACAATATTGTATGCATAATTTAATAATACTATCCTATAATAATAATTTTCACAATTGTGATGAAAATTGCGATAAAAATATTAAGTACATTTCCAGTATAATTATACAGCTGACAACAATGATACAATTAGAATGTGAATAGACCAGGCTTCATCTAGAAATGTAAATAAATAAGTCCCCTTTATTTAAATGTCCTTGGATAGTATACTACTACTTCCCTGCTAACACGAAAATGTTAAAAAAACTTGGCCACTATATTCAGGTACAGTAATTTCAAAGTAGTTCTTATTTTTTACCCTTTCTGTTTCTTAGAGTAAATCTGTTTCATCATCACTCAAGCTGGACAATGCGTCTATTAAGTCATCTGATTCACAGGACTCAAAATCGGAAATCTGGAATATTTTAAAAGTTTATTTAAAACACCGAGTTTGTTTTTAAAGGGAACTTCCTGTATAAAATGTGACTATTTTTTACTTACATTAAACTAAAATCCTTAACAAGTAATTATCAAAAACATAAACCTTACTTATAGATTAATATTAACAAGATCACGTCATAAATTCCTTGAAAACTAGTTTCTTTCTACGTACACCAAATTCTTCCCATAAATCTAATATTTTTTATTATATATTTAGTTTAATTACAGTCCGGAATGACATATTTTCATTATTAATATAATTCAAAGTTGCTTACATTATTTATTTTAAAATTTTTAACATCACAAAAATGACATGATGTTTACTGCTTGGAAAATTATAAAAGACTGACTGCTACGAGCCTTGTTTTACTTTTTATAACCCAAAGACAATTGAGGTTGTTACTATGGAAACGTCATATTAAACTTTTGAGGAATTTTTAATTGGAAATTATGACTATGCATGTTTTTTGCAGCATGACTGTTACCATATTCTGATTCTACACATTTTTATGCATATTTTGATGTCTATTTCTTTTCTCTACGTTCAAATTTAAACATTCTTCAAATTTTACATATTTTTGTAAATCTTGATTAATTTGTGCTATCTAGCTTAATTTTATGCCAGTAATATTGTTCAGTGACATTGATATTTACTTATTTTCACTTTTGTTAACAGTCTTTTGCAATTTGGATTAGTTATTATTTGAAATGTTTTTAGGTCCACCGATTATTGACAACTTCTAAAATTTATACACTACTTGAAACGTAAATTGGGATTTGAATACAGTATTTAATGTCTAGAAGGCCTTTTTAACACAGCATCGGCCTTTTTACAGTTAACATACACATACTCAACAAATTTTACATAATAGTTGACATATGGGTTTGACATTTCGAATATCGTTACATGAAGTTTTACAAAAACATTAAATTTAATTCCACTTATAAATATTGACCAAAAGTATGATAAACTTTAGTTTTAGTCTTAGTTTATTGCATGAATTACATTTATAAGTGCAATTCCTTCTTTCTCCGTCGATCAACTTGTCAAAAATTCTAACATTTTTCAAATTCCCTTAAACATACCTATGCTCCAATATGACATATGACATTACAAAAGTGTTGTACTTTATTGTATTTTCTAACTTTTCTAGGATATATTGGTGCATTTTTCAATCTATTTAGTTCATAAATTAAATTCTTTGCATTATTTTGACGGATTGATTTATTTCATTTAACGATTTTGTCTTATTATGCTATAAACTAATTCTATATCGAAATTTTGTCCTTCATTTTCATATTCTCAGTATTCCATATCCCTGTTGTGTTAGTTTTCTCTATTTATGTTTTGTGAATATCTCCAAATTCAAAATTTTGGTTTCATATCAAATTTATTTGTCGTTGCAAATCAAAATAACAATATTTTTGTTTAAGGCAAGTATGTAGTTTTCTTTGATTGGAGTGTTTCTTCAAACCAAGAAAATATTGGGTTATATTTTCAAATCAGTAAGTCAATCTAACCATATTACTTAGTTATGATAACATAACAAGACAGTATTTTGTTATTTTACCCAAACCAATCATTTATATGATTAATTTGTACTTAATAAGTTCACAAATTATTTTGTTGCCCTAATGGAAAACTCATTACTTTGGTATTAACAATAAATTAATGTAACAGTTTGCATATGATACAAAAGTAGGAAATAATTCGGAGTAGTACTGGCCAGGATCCGATACTGATTATTGAACTGCATATCTCTGAGATGACGTTCGAACTCTCTCAACGTTGGTCCCGCAGGAGGTTCTGTAGTGAAGTCCGCGTCAGCTATGGAAAATTAGGTGTTTGAAAAACCATCCCCCTCAACATTAGAACCGTTTCCAAAGAGTTGTGAGTCTGAAAATTATGCGGATGAAGTTATGTTCCCAAAGCGGCCTTTAAATGAATGTTGTGTATCACATGTTACTCTTAAGCCCTTCACATATTTAGTGTTTCTGTATATATATTTTCGTCTTCTGCAAATAAAACGCATCTAGAATGACGTGTGAGATTTGGCAAGTCATTAGTGAAATAAAAGAATAAAATAATTTAGACATATAGCTGTCAAACTAATAACTTGTCACATCGTATTGCGAATATGTCTTCTGATGAGGAAGATGATGAAAAGTTACCTGGAGAAGGTGGAGAGGGTAAGGAAGTTTACCCTTACGGAGAGTACGAGGGTGCCAGAGATGAAAATTTGGACAGACACGGTTTTGGCAGCGCTCTTTTACCCAACGGTGACATCTACGAAGGAAATTACTACCACGGCAAACGTCACGGCAATGGCACGTACTGCTTCAAGAATGGAGCCAGGTATGTCACATTCTGCTGAAAATCATTTACTTGAATCAATATAAGGTCTGTTCCAACAAGAGTCAGGGATTGGGTCTGAACCGTTCGAAATGTTTGGCCAGCTAAGTTCTAAATGTGTATTCACTGAATATATTGCAAGAATTAGTTGGAGAATGTCAAACTTCAAATCACTGCCTCGTCTATAAGATTTTCCTATTCCTCTCACATCTTCATTTGCCCTTCAGGTACAAAGGGAACTGGAGGAAAGGTCTGAAACACGGGAAAGGCGAGTTCCTCTACCCAGACGGTACCAGATACGTAGGAGATTGGAAGAAAGACTTCAAGCACGGCCAAGGCATCTACTACTACGTTAACGGGGACACCTACGAAGGCTGCTGGTACAAGGGATGGCGTCACGGCCTGGGCACTTATACCTTCAAGAAAGTCAACGTCACACACTTCGGTACCTGGAAGGAAGGAAGAATGGACGGTCCAGGTATCCTCCTTCTCGGTACACTAGATTTGTCCTTTCACACAGTATTTTTCCAGGCATTTACAACTATCCCCAGTACCGCTACCACGGCAACTTCGAGAGGAACCTACCGAAAGGACCGGGTTGCTTCACCTTCAACGCCAAATACATGCAGCACGGATTCTACATCAACATGCGCGATCCGGCCTTCGACTACGTTGGCGTGGAGGACCTCGGGTTGGATGAGGGAGATCATCCTACAGAGGTAGAGGATAGGGGCAATCCTAGAGGCATAGTGCCCATTTGGAGGGCTAGGGCGATCACCGAGTACAAAGCTGAGTTGCTTCCTAGGGAACCAGTACCGGTGCCAGTTCATGAGTCTGAGGAATCGCTGCTGGACATCATTGATTACCTCCAGAGGCAGTACGACAAGGCTGGAGGGGCGGACGAGGAAGAAAACAGAACAGTACCGTCGCCTGTGCCACTTGACTTGCAGCTTGACATTCCTGACATAGATTTTGATAATTTGTGAATCTCGTTTGGTTTTGTTAAAATGAGATGTTACCACTCAAATATACGTAGTGTTGGGTGTAACGACTTTTTTTTCGTATACCTTTTAATTATATATTCCTACATTTCTTTTGTGAATCAAGCTAATGAAGTCAATTTGAAAAAAAAAATGGACATAAAAGCCTGTCGCACTTATGTAGCGTCCCATCTGGAATGAAAGCTCTTAAAAAAAATGTCGCATTCCATGAAGTCGTTTTCCCAACAGGACGAGTGTTATTAAGGTAACAACGCTATTGAGTTTTCGTTACGATTCAGTTTGCTGAAGTTTAATAACGCCGAACTCCCCCGTATGGCGAGACAATGGCCTCCAGACCCTTCAGCGACTGTGAGCGCGAATTATTATTAACAGACGAGACTAATGTTCGACTAAAAACCTAGCAATGAACAGAGGCGTTCATATAAGGTTCGTCGGAAACGTAAACTACCTTTGGTTCCGAACTTCGCAAATAATTGCCCAGTCACTTTGGCCTTTGAATAATTAATTTCGGTTCTCAACAGCCAGCGTCTTAAAATACCATCTCTAATTTTTTTTATATGACTTAAACTGCACCATCTTTTTGTATTTAATTTTAAACAAATCATGACTTCCTTAATAATTTAAAATCTTAAAACAGTATTAAGGTCATTGATATACGCCAGGGGAAAGAAGAGCCCACAATGAGAACCTTGAGGTAATGAATATAAAGGGTTTTAATTTTAAACTGACGCTTTTCTTTTATCTTAACATACCATGGAACTCAATAAAGTAAGCAAATTTTTCAAATAACATTCAAAAATAACTTAAAAGGCATTTTGAACGCAGTAGTGATTTGGCTTTTGAACAATACACTATATAATTTAGGTGCCCAAAATGGATCATATTCTTAGAAATATGTAGTACAGTAATATTAGTATACTGGGAGTATCATCAAAATGCTGCCATAGCATCGCAACTGTTAATCGAGTGTATTTCTTTGCGATTTCATCCCGCTGTTAATGTTGTTCAAAGGGATCTAGATGCAGGCTACCTACAAGAACATCACTGTGAACATACTGGAAGACCTAAACCAATTAGAATGCTGCAAATATTTTAGATATTGTTGAAGAATATTCAACACCTGGCACCAGACATATTGCTCAGCAGGTCAAAGTGTCTCGTACTAATGTGCGCTTTAAAGTGTAAAGAAACTCTCGCTTCCAACAGCATGCACTGAATTGTAGATACTCCGAGCGATAGCTTGTATGAATGCAGCAATGGTGATCACTTCGAATCTCTTAGGCAGGCCTATTTCAAGAAGTAGACACATTTAGTGCAAAATTATTTCCAAATCAGTTTTACATGATTTCAGTTATTAGTGAAACTCAAACTATTGGTTTAGTTGAATTTAATCAGAATTTATTACTATTTTTTTTTCTTAATCTTAATTTTTACTTTGAAAAGCAACATAATCTTTTTTAAATATTCTATTTATTTTATAAAATTAGAAATTTGGATATTTCCTTTTCAAAAAAAATCCAGTTACCCTGATTTCTTCCCCGGTATCTTGATTCTTTTTCTATTTGGTTGTGTGTATTGATCTTTGCCGAAAATCAGTCATGTTTTAGTTTTGACAGCTAATTTTCTTGGATTGTCACTATAGATTTATTTTCTTCCGGATTTGTGTTAGTTTCTTTTTGTTGACTGTTTCTTTTTGTTGACTGTTTCTTTTTGTTTTCATTTTTATGTCGTAATTTTAGTTACAACTCTCTACTCTTTTAGATTTATTTTGAATTCGATTTTTTTTTCTGAAGTCTGCACTGTGTATTCAAGTGTTTTTTTGCTACAAAGCGAGGTTTAGCTTTACTTGGCTTGATATAAACTGGAACATGGAGAATTCTTACACTTCCTAAATAGATTTTTACAAAACAAATGCATGTCGAAAACTTTTCTAGAATGCCATATTGTTGGGGAACGTTTTTTCGGAAATGTTATATTCATGCTAAAATTGCCTTTGAATTTAAAAATAATTAAACGAAACACTTTTACAACTATTTTTTATATATGTAAATGCATTTCTTACAACATTTGGACAATTCTTTCTTTTTAAAATCAATATCAACCTTGTATTTTGAATTCTAGCAAACTGTTTGTATGCTGTTATACATATTTGTATAAGCATACGCAATCAATATATTTTTTTATACAAAATAACTAAATTTTCGTGTCATTATGTTGACAAATTGGTTGTCGATTTTTTTTATTTAAATTTTTATTTGAAATAGACTTTATTTTTCAATTTGTGTTGCAATTGCATGTGTCATTTTAATATACTGAAAGTATTTGCATGTTTTCATTAATTTAGACTATTTGTTTTAATTTGGTTTGTTCCTTTTCTCTTATTTTTTTGTTACAATATTTTTTTTACTTATTTTCGTTTAAACTCAAACTGAATTTTTACTATATTGATTTAACTGTTATGTATTCTAAAACACAATAAAATAACGGCCACTGTTACAATCCGGCAATGTAGAATTCAATTTTTTTTACAAATCTACCCCTCCCGAAGATCGTGGTGACGCCCCTGCTCATGAAAAGGTGTTCGAACCGTCGACAGCTCTACCCACTGCTCAGGGGGTGGTAGCGACGTGTGCGACAGCGGGGAAACAATGGAAACCACCCGGATTTTTCCCATTCAGCCCCCCCAAGTGCACTACACGATGAATAGTGAGCGAGAAAGTGCGTGCTTGCAGTATTTTTTTCTCTCGGCTAGCGCTTTTTGCGCAGTTGGAACGTAAACAAGTCCCTTTTAATCCTGAACGGGACGGGCGCAGCCTCGCGGGTCTGTTTGTTTAACGCTGGTATGTTGATACGGAAACGCGGAAAGGGTAAACTGTTGCCACCTGCGGGGGGTCGCGAGAATTGAAAGGTAAAGTGCCAGTGAAATACGTAAAATAATTAACTGAAAAAGCGTATTCGTAGCTTTTATTTCGTTAGGATGGATTTTCTTTCAGTATATATCGATGCCGGTGTGGCTTTCGACGTTGTACAGAAAATAGTAAGTATTCAAAAGAGTAGTGAATTTCTTTATTTTTATTGTAACTTAAAGCATATACCGGATGGTAATGGGCCAAAATTTATGGGTAGATTCCCGAAGCAAAAATATTGCGGTTTAGCCGAATTTACCCTAGTCCAAAAGTTGGTAGTTAAAGAAATACATGGTGTTAAATGTAAAATTTTTTTACACAAAAAGGTATACCTACTTTATGAAATTAGCTGTCTCGCACCGTTTTCGAGATATTTGTCTTTGAAACTTCCAATGTTGTTGCATTAAATTACAATTAAGTACAAATTAATTTAGCGGTAAAGTTTCTTAAGTAGGCTTTGGACGAAAATGAAATAATTGACGTTTTCCATTTGTATGCTACTTTCCATTCAGTATTATTCGTATCTAATTAAAATTACATCTTAGCTTACAATTTAAATGGTATGTACATAAGAGTGTGATAGAATGCCGAGAATTTTGTTTTTGGGGTTATATGAAATCAGTTGTTTATGGAGGAACTATACGTCATTTCGCGATAAGGATTTATACTTTAAAATAAAACAATCTTTTATTAAACGCGTTGATAAATGTATTGAATTCTAGATATAGTTACAATTTTAGAATATCTTTTTTGGTTTGTGGATCTGACACTGAATATTCAGAAAAAAAGGCAATTAGTTTGGAGATATCTATATTTCTGTTTCCTCTTCACTTTCAACATTCTCTTCAGCATAGTGTATTTCGTCCACAATGACGAAATCTTGATTATCATTAGGCAAATATATTAGCAGTCGACGATTTCTTTTTATCTGCATCCTAGCTTTACCGTGATTAAATGCAAAGGTGCTTCCTGAGGTTCTTCAACGACTTTTTTTTCTTTTTTCTATATTTGAAATTATTTATCAGCAAATTTATTAGTCCCGCCAAGTCATACATAAAAATGGAGCTTAGCAACTAATCTTTGAGCACCTCGCATCAGATCATGTTATTTCATTGCCTGATATTTTAATCATACTTTTTTAAAATATCGATTTTTTTTTATTAGTTGAGTATACATTTTTGGATTGCATTAGTATCTTATTAGTAAATATACACCTCAAGGAAAGCTCAAACACTATTCTTTCCTTTCGTCTCTTAAATCTAATAACAAGGTACTTGTAACATAAGTAACTGTAATAGAAAGTCTACTTAACGTTTACTTGACTAATAAAATTTATAGACTGCATATGTCAGTACTGTTTGGTTTTCAATGTTCAACTATTCAAAACTATAGTGAAAATCCATATTTATCTGCTCCCACTATAGTAAAGTAAATAACTATTAATACCTACATTGTTTTTAAGGAGGTAAGTGGATTTTACCGTAGAAGTGGAAGTTGCTATGGACAACGGGAGATAAATGAGGTAACTTACCTCCCTAAGGAAAAAGCAGTTTCGAGTTATAAATGCATATTTTAAGAACAAAGAAATAAAAATATTTCATGAACATTACATTTTATTAATTATTATGAATGAACATTAAATGTTACTATAAATTTTATAGTAATTGTACAGTTATTACATTTAATAACATTTATAAAATCCGGATAGTTATTCCCCTCGTGTTTATCTGACTGATCCATTAAAACAGCATGATGCGACGTACTACTAGAACATGGAGTTGAAGTGTCATTGTAAGAATCCTGTTGGCTATTTCATTTTTGTTACTTAAATTGTCAGCAACATAACTTTCTGCAATTGTGGCTGATTTCCACCCACCATATCTTTTGATTGTTAATACATTACATGGTTACTCCTGCATTAGCCAGTAACGTTGCCGATGTTCTTCGGAATGAATGACCTATATATGTTTCAGGATGTTCTAGTTTCAAAAACGGTGAAATCTTATTAGGAATTATAGTTGTATAACCGTCATTCTTACGTTTTAAAAATACTCTCAGCTTGGGGTATTTTGATATATC